GGGCAAATTATTATGTTTGTTCGTTCCTGTCTTTGGGATCGTTTATGCATCGCAAATGAGCTGTAAAGGGAATTTTGTGCGTTTGACAAAGTTTTACTTTAAAGGAGGCAGGTTGGAAAAAGGTTCGCCAGCACATTAAATGCTAGCTATTGTGCTTTTCATTCAACTTGACGAACAGTGGCCTAAATGGCAGGGGATTACACTGACGTACTGACAAGAATTCCTAGAAGAGACTGTGGGAATGGGGCCGGATAATGCCCAGGCCGCACAGCACTGCGGCGCTCCCGGATGTGCCTCAGACGGACGACATAACATACCTGTACTTACGTTGAGTCTAAACAGGGAGCGAGTCAACAGAGGCATGTCATGTTCCCTACGGTCTTTGAGTGGAAATTAAATAGCTCTCCATTTTGAGCAGTGGACATATTTCTGAATGAGGAGTTAACTGCAGGTTTTGAACATTTGGATCTTATTGTACATCACAATCAGAGCATTTTGGTTGCTCAGTTGGGTTCCTGTTACACGGGCACACGGTATGTGGGCATTTGTGAATTATTCATTTGTTAAAGGCATTCTTTTCATTTTTAGAAAAATTCACCTTTGTCTTGGTGAATTTAAGCAGTAATCACCGCAGCCCGGAGTAGAATAAACACCTCCTTTTTCGATACCAGTCTTTGATGCAGGGAGCTGCAGATGCGATGTTCCTGCCTTCCGGAGAAGTACACATGTCTTTCATCTGGGAAGCCTCTTTCTGGGGCAGTACCAGCTGGAAGATGTCAGCTGGGATGACCAAACACTTGATCAATAGACAGGGGGTGCGTCAGAGGTGGCTGAGAGCCATTTGTATGCAGTGTGTTTGAAAGCCCTTTGAAAAGGATAGCACGCGTAATGTGCATTTGTGTACGATAGGAAAGCATATTTTTATTAGGCACATTTTAACATATGGCTTCAAAAAGGAGAAGGTGTTGTGCTGTGCTCAAACATGGTTGTCTTTTCCCATGCGTATACCTAGAAAGTCATCTCTGTGCGATTATTCGAGTAACGATGTTCACACTTTTTAAGGCTTCATAAGGAACTGCCTTAATTTCTTAACACACCGTACTTATCACCTGCACACTTACGTTAGGAAAAGGGCACTCCCCAGCCTGCGTTCAAGACTGCCCACAGTTGTGACCGACTCTGCAGTGAGGCCCCTGAGCCAGAATGTTCCGCCAGCTGTTAGTTCCCGTTCCCAGTCTCACATTTGTGCTTTTGTTTATGCTGTTTCTTCTGTTTGAGGGCTGCTCCCCCCTGACCTCTGCCATCAGGTGCAGCCCATACTCCAAGGGCCTGCTTGTTTCAGCCCCGGCCCCAGGCTTCCCTGCAGCTCCACGTTCACTCTCCGGGGTGGACGTGTTTTGCCAGGAGCACTCGGTGAAGATGACCGATGGCCATATTGTGTAGTTTCCTCATCTCCCTGCTGGTTCTTCACCTTGATGGTTCAGGGTACTAACAGTAATGATAATGGCATAATAAACACTTATTCAGCCAACTTTTACTGATTGCTGTTGTGTTGAGGCCAGGGAGGTAGAGGAGGTGATGGTAGGCCAAGCACAGCCCTGAAGGTTTCTGGTACGTGTATATATATGTATGTTTTTATTTAAAATTTATCTTTCAATTACATCTGATATACAATATTATATTAGTTTCAGCTGTACAACATGGTGATTAGATATTTATATACCTTAGGAAGTGAGTATCCTGCTAAGTCTTTAGTACCCACCTGACACCATACATAGTTATTACAACATTATTACAGTATTATTGACTATGTCCTCTATGCTGTACTTTACATACCCTTGACTATTTGTAACTATTGATATCTATTTCTTTTTTTTTAATATATACTTTATTGATTTTTTACAGAGAGGAAGGAAGAGGGGTAGAGAGTTAGAAACATCAATGAGAGAGAAACATCGATCAGCTGCTTCCTGCACACCCCCTACTGGGGATGTGCCCGCAACCAAGGTACATGCCCTTGACCAGAATCGAACCTGGGACCCCTCAGTCTGCAAGCCGACGCTCTATCCACTAAGCCAAACCGGTTAGGGCTCTATATCTATTTCTTAATCCTTTCATTTTTTCTCCCATTCCTCCACCCCCCTTGTCCCATAGCAACTATCAATTTGTTCTCTGTATGTATGAGTTAGCTTCTGTTTTGCTTGTTTGTTTATTTTTGTTTGGTAGGTTCCACATAAAAGTGAAATCATATGGTATTTGTCTTTCTCTTTCTGACTTATTTCACTTAGTATAATACCCTCCGGTCCATCTATGTTGTTGAAAATGGCAAGATTTCATTCTTTCTTGTGGCTGAGTAATATATTCTATTGTATATAGGTACCACTTCTCCTTTATCTACTCATCTGTCTTTATTCTCTGAGCCTTACACAGCTACTCAAGTGTTTTTAAGCAGGAAGCTATCAGAATCAGGCTGGGATTTTGTGAAGTCACACTGGCTGTGCCAGATACACAATGGTTAATAGCAGGAGTGAAGGAAGGGCAGTTTGGAGGGCACTGTAACCATCTCGGGCAGATAGCCTGGATTGGGATCAGTATGGTGGTGGAGAAAGAAGTGGAAAGTGTGGGAATGTATTGAGGAGACCCAGTCAGCAGGGCTTGGCAGGGTGGCCTGCAGAGCAAAAGATGCCAGAGATGACGTCTAGATTTCTGGCTTAAACCTTATGAAATTGCCAATATTCTGACATTTATGATCTGCAGAAACAGTAATTTCATATGATGCAGCCTAATAGATGGGTGGTTGGTAGGAAATTCACGTAGACAATGATTGCTTAGAGGACCAGGTGGGTTTTGATTAGTTTTTGCTTTGGTGGTGGTGAGGTGCAAGAGAACCCAATTGGGTTCTGATATGGTGTCTTTGAAGTGCCTTGGAAATCTCCATGTGAGGAGAAAGAGGGACAGTTGCCTCTGTGGGCCTGGCGCTTAGAGGAGTGGCCTGAGCAGAGAGATAACGTTGCTAAAACAGGTGCTGCATGAACACTTAGTCCAGTGATGGCGAACCTTTTGAGCTCGGCGTGTCAGCATTTTGAAAAACCCTAACTTAACTCTGGTGCCGTGTCACATATAGAAATTTTTTGATATTTGCAACCATAGTAAAACAAAGACTTATATTTTTGATATTTATTTTATATATTTAAATGCCATTTAACAAAGAAAAATCAACCAAAAAAATGAGTTCATCAACCTGTGTCATAGGTTCACCATCACTGACTTAGGTTGACCTTGTGTGTAATTTGCAACAGTCCTATGAGGAATGTATGAGTGTGCTCTCTTTGGAGATTCAAACATTGTGGCTCAGAGAGCCTAATTAACTTGTCTAAGGTCACACAGCTGGCAAGTAGAAGGGCTGGGTTTTGAAGCCTGTTCATGTCTCAGGGCCCAAGCTCTAAACCACTATGCATGCAGCCTCCCCAATGGGATGGCTTCCTCACACCGGGGTGCACAGCTCTGTACCAAGTAGGTCCTTAGGAATTTCTTATTGAATAAACATTTGATGAAAATAGTAGCATATTCCCTTCGGAATAAGAGGATTTTAGAAGAGGTCTCCCCAGGCCCAAAAAGTGCAAGTAAATAGAGGGAATTGGAATGGTTGGCTTCCTGGTCCTTTTCATGCCACTTTTCTACTAAGCACATCCCCAACCCCTGTTGAGGTCTGAACTTTGTAGAGAGCCTTGGTTGAGGACATAGCAATTTCTCTTGGATGGGTCAATTGATGGTTAATTAAGCTTTCTCTACAGTGTTTTTGGGGTGAATCTGACAGAATTTTGGCATTTTAGGCCTAAGAGCTGGGTGAGCTACTGCCATGCCCCCCTCTGGTGCCCCTGGAACACATTGCTGATTACCGGGGCCCTCTTTCCTGCTGCTGCTTCCGGATGCTGATTCAGAATCCTTCTCAACGAAACCCTCCCATTTTAGGACTAAGGAAGCTGAGATCCAGGAGGATGCACTTGAATGATCAGGGTTAGTATTCAAGAATAAGTATATTTGCTATTTAGGACTCAAAGAAACTAGATTCAATCCCTTCACAGGTAAGGAAGCCAAGGGCCTGAGAGAGCAGTGACCTGCTCCTTGCTGGCACACATGGAGCTCAGACCCTCATTCCTACCTCCCGATTAGTAAATGGTCCCTCCTCTGGTCTGGGAGAGTGAAAACCCTTGGCCACATAGCAATCCCCTTCGTGTTTTGGCTCATTCGGCCAGACTGAGCACATCTGGTTGTGTGCACGCGTTTTTCATCAGCTGTTTCCCTGGACATTTCCTCATCATGAATGTGGACAGTGAATCGAATGATGCAAATTATGTTTTATGGGGGTTACCTTTTGATACAACAAGTATGTAAGGTTTCTTGGTGTTCTCCGCTATGCCCACCTGGAAACGGTGTTTTATTCTCTTCGCCCTCGATGTTGAAGTGAAGCATATTGTTTCCCTTCAGGATGCCATTAAAAGGCGATGATGACCTTTACAATGACTAATAGTTTTCATGGGGCTTTAATTGTGATTTTTTTTTTTTTGGCAGAGCAGCATCAGTCTGCTTCATGTGTCTTTTGTATCAGGGAATCGATGAAAACTGCCGCCTTTTGTTGATGCTATAGGAGATTTTATGCCAATGACAAGGGATTTGATTTAATATTCTCTTTAAATAAGATCAACACTGCTGCAGTTATAAACTCTTCGAAAAACTGTCAAGCCCATCAATATAGCATGAAACAAAAAGTCAGCAGCCTGGTATAAATTAGCTCAGCAATGTGTCTTTGGGAAGGGAGGTAGATATTTATGACTGCATGCTAAAATACATCTATTTAGAGATTTCTTTCTGCTCTTTCCACCGTGAGTAGGAAACGTAGAGAGGAGCATTTCATTACCACTGTCTTCCAAACTGCAAACTTTCTTTGCCAGTTAATGATTTTCTGGGGCAGTTCCGAATGTGGTGACATGATATAAACAGGTATTTATGATCTGTGATACAATCCTCAGTGAGTATGGATTTATAGTTAAATGGTGAACTGGGAATCCAGCCGGCCATTATTGACAGAGCTTCTAGAATCTATATTTTGTTTGTTTCCATTATTCACACACACTTTCTTTTGGGGCCTGATTATCTGTGTAGTGTCTGTTTCCTAATTTAGTTGTGAGTATGAGACTTTGAAATTCAGGGACATATGCCCTGTATGTTCAGGGGCAAAACCTTGTCCCCATACCTGTTCTCCAATATCTTTCTGTTTCCATTCAAGGTCATATGATCATTCCTTCTCTCCCAGGCTCTGTTCCAGGTGAACAGGGAACCCAGGCAGGAGCAGAGCTGATTGACAAGACAGGGGTGGGGTGAGCACATGTGCTCAGGTTGTGGAAATGTCAGAGAGCTGGGGAGAATCCAGGGTTTCCCAGATGAGAATCCTTTTGCTCCGGGAACAAATGAAAGCTTCTTCAGACCCACAGCCAAGGATGTCAGACCTGTTATGGACAACCTGGGCAGCATGGAATTGTGAGCAGAACAGAAATAGGCAAGAGGCGGAGCCAGGCAGACATGAGTTTGCATTTCTGGGGTGTCTGGCACACTGGGAATATTGCAATGGAGCTGCCGACAGAGGAGAATTCTGGGGAGGCCACTGCTTTCATGAGGGGCTTTTCTGAAAGAGGTTCACTCAAAGTTGCTTGCAGGGCCTGACCCACGCGGCAAAACCATTTGACCGGAGTTTCTTGAAGCGTAGCCCACGGACTGCCCACATCTTGGTCACCTGGGACTTCAATCAGAATCTCTTGGGGGGAAGCTGAGAATCTGTTTTAAAAATTTCCCCAGCTGAGTTCCCTGCAAACCAACAAAGTTGACAACCACTGTTCCAGAATTAAGGACTCTTGCCAAGTTAGAACCTTAGTTAGACCTCCTTTTCATTTTTTTTTTCCAGAATAGCTTAGGGTTTGTATCTTGAGAGGTCAGGATATTCTTTGGATGGATCTAGAAAAGAGATGCTTCTTCACTTTACAGGTCCATTTGAGAAATGAACATTTTCCAGAAATTTCACAAATACACATTTTCTTTAGGTTGTATTTTGGTATCTCATAGACATAATTTCTATGCAATTTCCGATGCCCAAAGTTCCCCCATCCTGAACCGTGTGTTGAAAACTCCCGGCTAGAAGACAGAGTTATATACTTGCTGCCACCTTTCACTGATCACATTATGCTTGTTCCAGCAGCGGTGTTGAGGGGACAATCATGATATGACCAGTAGATAAGGTCCCAGAGAAAGCTCTGCATGGTTGAAATGCTGGCTCTTCATCATGTTGAACACATGGGTGAAAGTTGAAGCATATGGCTCCCCAGTATAGGTCATGAATCCATTTGTCATCATTGGAAAGCATTGGTATCCTTGAGTTTGTATTTCTGGGTCCATTTGAATGTTTGGTCCCCTTCTGTTAGCCTTAGTCTTATGTGAGTTATTTGGAAGCACCTTTTGAATGTTTGGTCCCCTTCTGTTAGCCTTAGTCTTACATATGTGAGTTATTTGGAAGCACCCTTTATGCAGGGAGAAAAGCGAAGAGCTTCCTTCTCCTGGGCTCAGGGACATTGAACTTGAAGATTCTGCTTTTCTGTCTGGTAGACAGTTCTCTAACATGGAGTGACTCACAGAAACATGGATTTATCTTGTTGTGTGCTTTTTTTTCCTGATAGTTTTTCATAGGCGTGAGTCACCCACTAGACCACACAGCTGTCATCTGCCCAATGTTTGTGTCATTTTGGAGGAGATGAGTGTAAACTGAGAAAGTCTCTCTGCTTGTATTCCTGGGTGGTACTGAAGCTGCCTGAGAGTTCTTTTCTGGGATTTATTAGTTAATGATTTTCTTTTCAATAAACATTTGTAGCATATTTAGTGTGCTTTCCTAAAGGGACAGGGGGAAATAATTTGGCAGCCTTATTGGACGTTTGTTTTGTTTTTAATCTTAGGACACCCTTTATTCACTCAACCACCCAGGGCTGCTTTCCTTTCCCTAGCCTCGGCCCTACCACCTGGGCATTCATGTTTTTTCTCTAAGACAGAATACCAACCGAGCTCAGGCAGCCGGTTGACACAGCCAGATCAAAACCCTTTGAATTTTGAAAATGATTCCCCTCTTGGTATTGAGCCCAGTGATAAAAGCAAAGCAGTTGTCATCTGGAAAACAGAGCTGTATGCATGGCAGAGCCTTTCCAATTAGCACACTTAAGATGCATGTTAGGATGATGGGAAGTGGGATGTTACAGAGTGAAATGCGGATAATAGGGCTTTAAACTTTCATGTTTCAGTTGATTTTTTTCTATTGTAGTTTTAAGAAAATTGTTGCACATTATTGGAGCTCCTAAGTGCATCTTAACATTGATCTTTCTGTATGCAATAATATCTTCCAAAACCACAGAAATGTTGGTCATGAAAAAGCTTGTATCCATTGGTTTTCCAAGTAGAGGAAGGGTAATCTACTAATTCAAAATTACTCTGCTACCAAATAACGCATCAGTTTAGGCCATTCTTCAGGTGGCTGTTCTGCCCGCTACCAGCAACTGGTTTGATGGAATCCCAGCCCAACAACCTGGCATTTTTGGTGTTCACCAAATCCAGCCTCAAAAATGAGTTCTGTCCATACATGCACAGAAATAAAAGGCAAATATCCAGCATAATCCAATTGATTTGTTATGTTGTGCAAGAGTAGGCCTTCCTTCCCCCGGCTGCCAGCACCGGCTTCCCTCTGGCTGCTGGCAGGCACCCAGGACCCAGGCTTCCCTTGCAGTCCCGGCTTCATTCTGGAAGGACATCTGGAAGGATGTCCGGAAGGATGTCTGGTCTAATTAGCATATTATGCTTTTATTATTATAGATATATCAGAGTTGTTCAGATGTGTGAAGTACTGGTTAGAATGCGGATGTCTAACATAGGGCCTGGTATACAGTAATAATACTAGTTGCGGTGGATGTTGTTAGTGCTCACAAGTATTTCTAGTTCTGTAATCCTTCTAGGCATATAGGAGAGTCACATTTCCCTTTCCCCTGAGGTTAGGTGTGCCTTGCTTTGGTCAAGTCAGTGGGAGCAGAAGTGATTTGTGCCACCCACCATTAGAGAGAAGTACTTAAGACCCAGTGAACAGTGAGTGCCCCCCTTTCTTATGCTAAGGCAAACTCTAAGCCTTTTATTGAGAAACCAGCATCATAAGATATTGGCGACTCTGTTAGCTTGGGTCCTTAATAACTACAGTGGTCAGAGCACCCTCCGTACCAGTGGACCCACACTAGATTTGTAGAATGAGAGAGAAATAACTCTTTTTGCTTTAAGCTCCTTGAGATTTAAAGCTTGTTTGTTATTGCAGCATAATCTATCCTATCTTGGCGTAGTAATTAACATTTATTCTGTGCTATGTGCTAGGTACTTAAATAAATATATATTAATTTATTCGATGATCACCATAACACTGTGATAGAGATGCTGCTATTATCTCCATTTTGCAGGACAGATAACATAGGTGCTGAGGTGCTAAGTCACTTGCCTAAGATTACATTGCTCTTAAGGAGCAGAATTGAGATGGGAACCTAGACAGTCTGGAAAATTCTATATAATAAAAGCCCAGAGACGAAACAGCAGAACGACCAGTTGACCAGTTGCTATGATGCACACTGACCACCAGGGGGCAGACACTCAATGCAGCAGCTGCCCCCTGGTGGTCAGTGCGCTCCCACAGTGGAGCACTGCTCCGCTGACTGGGATGAGCGGCTGCTCCTGCAGTGGCCGATCCCCGCAGGCCATGACCCCCACCAGTGCACGAATCCCGTGCACCGGGCCACTAGTATTCAAGAAATGGTGAGTGAATGAGTCAAGATTAGAGAGAGTTCTACGATTTGGTGGAACATACAGTATTTCATGTGGTATCATTGGAAGGGGTATCAGTTGGGTTATCTGTCCAGATATCTTTAGCTGCCTATCCTTTTGCCATTACAATTACTTATTTTTAGGTCCCTGCATTCATTCATTCATTCACTCATTCATTCATTCATTAATTCATTCATTCATTTAATTAATTAATTAATTTATTTATTTATTTTCCCTTTTAGGAAAATAGTGCTCAGGTTGGCAATGCCCTGTAGAGGTTTTATAAGGCTTGGTGCTCCAAAGGGCACATGAGTCACCAGGAAGGAAGTTAGGGACTCCAGGGGAAATCAAGGAACCAAGGGCTAGAGTTGCTCTTTGGCTGAGGGTTACCCTCTTGGAGATGAATGGCTGGTGTGTTATACTGTGAGTACAGAGAAGCAGACCCTCTTGTGGGAGCTCCACCTGTGGAGTTGACCCATATTCTCTGAGGAGAAGTGGAATATCAGAGGACTGCAGGTCTGTGCCAATGTTACTGCTTTAGAAAGGTGGGCAGTTTTCCTACATGGGCAAAAAGAGGGGTTGCAGTGTGGTAGGGGAGCGGTAAGGAGTGTGATTTTGCTCAGTTGTTCAAATATGTTCTGATCAAGGGTAGAAGTTCACCCATTTCACTCCTCTGTCTCCAGCTGGTTTGTTTCAGAAACAACTTTCATAAACACTCACATATACTTTTACGCTGAGATAGCTGAAGACCTTGATCAAGGATCTTTTGGTTGCAAGTGACAAAAATCTCCTCAGTCTTCTCTAAGCAATAAGCAGGAATTGGTATAGGGTCATCTTATGAAACTCCAATCCTAGACACTTAACCGGCCCCTGTGGGGGACTGGAACAAGAGCCTGGAAAGCTCCTTAGGGTCACACCTACGCCCTTCAATTCTTAGCGGTTATGTGGAGCTGAGTTCTTTCAGTATGTTTGATTTCACTCCGTCTACCCTATTAGCTTTCTGTGCTGCCATATGTTCATGGACAATTGGCCATAATATGGTTCCTGAGCTTATGGACCTTCTGTTCACATACCTATTAGAGATTGATAAGCAGCTTTAACTCCCAGTTCTACAATCGGGAAGGAGAAACATTTGCGCCACATTGAGTCATGGTCTACTCATGACACTATAAGCAATGGTGGTGGGTTTAGATCTGTCATTTATTCAGCAATATATGTTGAATGCCTAGCATGTGACAGTCATGATGTTAAATATAAGGAAGGTTTTGGTAGTGCATTTCACTGTTCTTATAAGATGGCAACCTGCCTGACGCTGAAATTCTTAAATCTGAGTTAGGTTCATAATCTTTATCATAGGATGTTATTTGAGGACATTCTCTCCTTATTCAATAGGTTAGATTAGATGATCATAGTTCTTTCATTCTATGATATTATGATAAACCATGTTATACAACCTGTGAGAGATATAGAAATGAATAGGGAAGATATATATGCTAGCAGTGGTCAGAAAAATCACTTTGGAGTAATTGGGACATGAATTTGGCCTAAAAAGGAAGAGAAAGCAGAAAGAATATATTCTAAGTTGACATAGTGAAGTGTATGAAGACACAAAGATGGTGGATGCGGTATGTATGAGAAAGAAGAGACACATCTATTCAATCTGTCAGGGCAGGTAAAACAAGTTCAGTTGTAGGAGAGTGTTAGTTTGATGAGATTAGGAACTCGGATTTATAGTCATAATATTGTAGAACTAGAGGACACTAGTTGTAGGTAGAATACTCTACTGTAATTGAAGACTTAAGAAAAGTGGCTTAAGCAGAGAAGAGATTTTATTATTTCACATAAGAGAAAAGCTGAGGTAAGCAGTGAAGGGATTGATCCAGCAATTGACATCAAGGACCAGACTCCTTCCATCTTTCTCTCTGCCAGCCTTAACATAACGGCTTGGAGCTAGGGCTTGTTTCCTCATAGCCACTACCTGGGTGTGATGGCTCTATGAATCACAGGTGGACATACAAGATTATGTCAAAGCAGGGAGGGGTGTTTCCTTCAGTGCATCCCTTCTACATCCCTTTGTGTCCTGTAGACCATAATCCATCATGTTCCCACACCTCAGCTTTAGGGGAGGATGAGACAGAGGAAGGCAAACTGCCAGCAAAGAGTGGGTTTGGTAGTGTAGGGGGGGGGGTTCTGGGTAAGGGTTGTGAGTCAGCTCTGCCAATGGTGTGGGTCATCTTGTATCATTGCCCAATTTCACAAGTAATGATATACAATAACTGTCATATGTCTGGTATCTGTTATATGCTGAGCACTCTTCAGTGTTCTGTTTTTACTCTTTGCAATATTCCTTCCGGGTAGGTGGTATCATTCTCATTTACTGATGAGGAAACTGACTGTTGGGTGG